CTTACCTTACCTCCTCTCAAGACTTTCAAAGTAATGGACCCGAACTTCTTGCAACCCCCAAACCCATTTCGCTGTGTTATTCCATGGAACCAATCCACCCTTCACCTTTCCTTACCGGAGTTGCTTGAAACAAACAAAATGTAATACTGGGATCGACACTACCATTTCTCACAAAATACGTGTTACGGGCGACGAAACCTAGGGCTGATGGGGTGGCAGGCTGAGTGGGCGGCAAATTTTGTTGTTTTATATACCAAAGATCGCTACGGTGGATGGATTGATGAGCAGAAAGACGAAAGTAACCCCCAAGGGTTTTTGTTGCGACGAATACCGACGCAATTTGTCGTGTCGCGGATCTTCGAAGAAGGGGCGTACGAGAAATGAATTTTACGGGTTAATGGGATATGGGATCAGCGTGGGCTGGTGTTCTGCTTTTGCTTTTTGGCTACGAAAAAAAAATATAGAGGTATCAAAATGACATACGTTTGAATTCAAAGAGTGCTAGACTAGGTGTTGTGATGGATGGTGGACAAAGGTCTGAAATCTACATCTCGACCCTGCGAATGTAAGGACACGGCAATCTGTCTAACATCAGAACTCTTCCCCTCATTCGCGCTACTCGCCTCACCCACACACATACACAAACACAAGGGTCTTTCAAATCTTGCGGATCTCTCTTCGATTTGTCAACGATGGAAACCAACACCAGCACTTCTAGTCCGCGGCTTTCCATCGTGACCGAAAGCTGAAATCATACATGAACGACATCTGACGCACAAGAAAACTCCGCTTGCTTTCGCTTCCGCGAGAAACATGACGTACAACTTGTGTATTTAGACGATTCGGGAGAAAAACGTCAAGCATGATCTCTGTCCAAGTGTATATGATGTAACTTGAGCGTAGATGTTTTGTATGCCACTGCGAACCTCATGACGAGTTCTACGTCTCAGTGCTGTGTCGGAGGACTGATGTCCTGAACTACCCGCAATGCAGGAGTGAGCGACTGCTTCGCCTCTGTTGTTCTCTAAGATTACTAACCTCAGGCCTAGAAGAGGTATACCCATTCGTGTAGCTGATCTCAGATCGGCAAAGTAACGGTCATGATGAGTGGAGTCATGTTTGTGTAATGTCGTTGTTCTCATACATAGTCTATGCATTACTGTATCGTATATGCCTCTTTTGAGTGCGATATTCTGCAGCTCATGCCAGTGTACATGCTTCCTCCAAGCCAGCCTACGGGTATGCGATCCTACTCCTCCATTTCCATGTCGTCGCCGCCGCTTGACTGGCCGTTTTGCCGCGAGTTCGACTTTGGTACCGAGGCTTCCTTGTCGATCATCTGCCGTGAGACGGAGACGATGTTGTCTTCGATGAGCTGCTGGCCGACGTCTGAGATGTCTGTGATATTCTGTTAGTAAAGCTATCAAGCAAAACGTGGATTTCAACGTACGCTTCTTGGGGTCAACCTTTCCGACGTATCGCGTCTTTAGTTGGTCCTTGGTCAACTCTGTCTCCTCCTTCACTCGCTTCTCGTAGCCGTCTGCCAGTGTAACGAGCTTCTGCAGCCTGTCGGTATTCCGCTCGCCCTCGCCCTTGAAGTCGTCCATGAGCAGCGCCTCTGTCCATACATGCTTGTGCAGGTTCATCAGCATGTTCTCCTCCAGCGCAGTCTTGCGGTAGTTGATGCCGATGGAGTAGTAGTGGCGGTTGAGGCCGTGGATAAGGGCTTGGATTGATGGCTTGTTGAGGTGGCCGACGTTCGAGGTTGTCTGGCGGGGCTCGTGGCCCATCATGAGGGCTTGCGGGTTGATGAGGCGGAAGGCATCGATGACGACTTTGCCCTTGACAGACTGGATGGGGTCGACGACGACGGCGACGGCGCGGGGTGTGAGCTGCTCGAACGACTGCTGTGTGTTGATATCGACTGAGGACAGCCAGCAGCCGAAACCAGGATGTGAGTGGTACCAGCCGACGACGGTCTCTTGCCTGTGTTTGTCAGCGACTGATGGGTGGCTTGGGAGCGGTGGCGGCTTCGAGCGCCCAGGCAGCGACTGCGTACCTTCCTGTTTGCCTCAACATGTCCATCATCTTGGTTTGGAAGACGGGGTCTACGGCCTCGACGGACACTCCCGTTCCTGACTGCGGCATGGCAAAGACATCCACCACTCGTACTGTGTAGTCATCCACAAACTCGCCCAGCATCAGGCCCATGACTTCCATGGGTACACCTGCGCGACCGTGCCGCAGCATCTTGAGGAGCGCCAGGGAGGAGATGTAGACGGTTTCGGAGTTATCGATCAGGTTGGTGTCGCCCTGGGGCCCTCCCATACCGCCCATGCCACCTTGGGCGGCGGCGAGCATCCTAGTTAACCGGTCCATGGTGGAGTACTGGCGATGGTTCTTGTATTACTGCAGGCGGGGTATCTGGCGACGAGGTGAGGGTACTCGGGTGTGGACGAAGTGTTGCTGGGTAAGGCGGCGGCGATGATGAAGCTGTTGATGCTCGGAGCTCTCTCACGTAACTGCGCGACTGCATGCGGCGATTCGGTTATTCCGGAACCGGCACTAGACAGGGGGGCCCTGTCGCAGCTCTCATGGTAATGGCGCGCGAGGGTCTTTGTTCAAGCTCCCGCCATCTCTCTGCCACGCCCCTCCACCCTTCCTTGATTGCTGATACTCGAACACCCTGCATGCTGTAGTCGCCGTCGCCCGCAACATCCAGTCCAACTTTATCACATTTATCACGATAATATCATCACACATCCTCCCAGTCGCATAGCTGTGCGCAGCCACCAAAGATATGACCACCGCTATGGAACCCACGACGGGCTCCTCGTCTTTGAGCAATGGCGTCGCCTCGCAGCCAAAGAAGGTCGCGTACTTCTACGACTCCGACGTCGGCAACTACGCCTACGTAGCCGGACATCCCATGAAGCCCCACCGCATACGCATGGCGCACAGCTTGATCATGAACTACGGACTGTACACCAAAATGGAGATTTACGTAGGTGGATCCAACGTCAATTCTCCAGGAGTTTGTGCTAACTCGCCGGCAGCGCGCTAAGCCCGCGTCCAAATACGAGATGACGCAGTTCCACACCGACGAATACATCGAGTTCCTCCACAAAGTAACGCCCGATAACATGGAGAGCTTTACACGTGAGCAAAGCAAATACAACGTCGGAGACGATTGTCCAGTCTTTGACGGTCTGTTTGAGTTCTGTGGCATCAGCGCTGGCGGCACCATGGAGGGCGCTGCGCGCTTGAACCGAGGAAAATGCGATGTCGCAGTAAACTGGGCGGGAGGATTGCATCACGCGAAGAAGAGCGAAGCCAGTGGTTTCTGTTACGTCAACGACATTGTCTTGGGAATCATCGAGCTACTCCGATACAAGCAGCGCGTGCTGTACATCGACATCGACGTCCACCACGGAGATGGTGTCGAGGAAGCCTTTTACACGACCGATCGCGTCATGACCGTCTCATTCCACAAGTACGGCGAGTACTTCCCCGGTACCGGTGAACTGCGCGACATCGGTGTCGGCAGCGGCAAGAACTACTCGGTCAACTTTCCTCTTCGCGACGGCATCACCGACGAGACCTATCGCAACATTTTCGAGCCTGTCATCGAGGCGGTCATGACATACTACGGCCCAGAGGCTATTGTTCTACAATGCGGTGGTGACAGTCTTTCCGGGGACAGGCTTGGTTGCTTCAACCTGAGCATGGACGGCCACGCCAATTGTGTCAAGTACGTCAAGAGCTTCGGCGTGCCAGTCATCGTACTGGGAGGAGGTGGTTACACTATGAGAAACGTAGCGCGAACTTGGGCCTACGAAACAGGAGAGCTCGTCTCAACCAAGATGTCCAAGCAGCTGCCTTTCAACGACTACTACGAATACTTCGCTCCCGACTACGAACTGGACGTCCGTCCTTCTAACATGGAGAACGCCAACTCTCACGACTACCTGCACAAGATCAAATCCGCCGTCATCGACAATATCCGGAGAACCGGAAAGCCATCAGTTGAAGCCTTCACCAATATTCCGGATGTGCCTGCGGGTCTAACTCGCGCTACGGACTCAGACGCTGAAGATGAAGACGATGATCTCGATGCCGACGAGAATAAGGATGTGCGCATGACACAGCGTCAGCGCGACCAGCAAATAGAGCACGATGGCGAGCTCTACGACGCGAGCGATGATGAGGATTACAAAAACAGCCTCGGAGTGCGCGAGCAGCCCGGCACCAAGAAGAGGCGACATATCACCGACTTCCCAAACCCCAACGCTGCTCCGGAGGATGACTTGGACCGCATGGAGACCAATGGTGAAAGCGCCGTATCCACACGACAAGCATCTGCAGTCGCCAAGTCGCGCACGACAACTCCCGCCGCTGGCGAGCAAGAAGCTGACGAAGATGGCGACATCGACATGGACGCGGCGCCTGCTGCGACTGCACCTGCCGCTGGCTCAACGCGATCACAATCGCCCGCTGGTGTCGTAACCCCACCCGAATCCCCACCAGCCGCGGCAGCAACAACAACCATGGCACCTACTTCAGCCCCCACAGCAGACGTCGAAATGGAGGAGAACGACAACAAAGAAGAGGTCGCCGCAGCCAAAGAAGAGGGCGACGCAGAACGCGATTCTGAAAACGTCAAGGGCGAGGTCCGCACAGAGGTCGCTAAGGACTAAGCACCCAAACGGCGGTTCTTTGCTGCATTTGCGAGGCGTTTGTACTTTCATCGCACTATTTTCTGGGTCACTTCTTGACGACGGGTAGCGGGGTCGGTGTTTTGGTGTGATGGGAAATAGCTTGCGTGAGTTAGCTCAAGCTAGGGGATACCTTTTTGGATTTTACGAAAGTATGTTATTCTGATGCAATGGGTTTGTTGTCTCTCTATCATTGTATGTCTTACGTGCTAGAATGAAATATGAATACCAAGGCAACGATCGATTTTCACGTCCTGGGCTTCTTGTCGTAATATCTTGGACAGCCTAACACCACTCCCCACATGCCTCAACATCCCACACCGGTCTCTTCCCCACATCCGCACCCGCCTTCTTGCCTTTATTTCTCTTGACCTCTTCGCACGCACGCACCATGTCCTCATCACCGTCCAACAGTCCGGCTACGACACGCTCGGCCATACCACAGAGCTTAGCAACCAAGCACTTGTAATGTCCCAGCGTACCAGTCGTCTCGATAAGTACACGCATCCTTGGCTTCGCAGCCGTAGACAAAACAGAAGTACCAGTACCAGACGCCGACACAGGAGGACAATATCGAGATCCGACGATCTTACTAACGGGGTCACCAGTCTCAATACCATTCTTCGTCTTCACCGTTGGTGTCAAGTCGTCTTCTGTCTCTTCCTCCCCCAACACCTTACCCACACCATACAATCTCTCCATCTTCAGTTTTCTCAGTCCTTCCATCCTTGTCTGTACGGAGCTTTTCCTTCTTTTTTCCTCAAAAACTACTAATGCGATTTTCAGGCCTATCTCTATCTCTAGGTCCTCCTCGTCCTCGTCCTCGTCCTCTTCATCCTCCTCATCTTCCTCTTCATCCTCTCCCATACCCATACGAGGTACGACTACAGGCACCTCAACAATCGGCACACTAACCCTCAACGGATTACAGTCAGGGTCGTTGGCGTAGTACCGCACGAGGAAAGCGAGGTGTTTTGAGCATTCGTTCAGGAGGGGTTTGGGGATCGAGGGGTGCGTTAGTTGGAGGTTTAGTTCGGAGAAGATGCGTGCGCGGAGGGGGTCGATTGGTGGTGTCATTTTTCGCGTGTGGTAGGGGTAATGTTGGATTGTATGTACGAAGGATGATTGTTTGTAGTAGTGGTGGCGGCAAGGGGGAGGGTGGGTTGAGGCGGTGTTTATAGCGATGACGAGCATGGAAAGGGATGATAGTTTGCTGTCTTGAGACATTCGTTGCTGCTGTAGTTGAAGAGGTTAGACAAACCGAGTTCTGTTGTGAGAGACGGGTCGGTGCGGGCATGTTTCAAGCTGCGTCGATTGCCAAGTTTGACATCCAGGTCAGACAAATTCACGATGCCATTCTAGAGCAAATGAGTCGAAAGCTGTGTGTCTAGGTTCTAGGAATTTCCTCTATACATGTCTTTCGAGTTACACAAAAGCTTTGAGAACGACTTCCTGTGCTCAGAGTACCAGATGCATATCATCCAGATCAATATCCAATCCTGAACTCAGCTGTGGGATCTGTTTGTAGTTACTCTCGTCCAGGGTCTTCCGGATGAACTTGAGTGTCTGTCTCCCGGTCAGTACAACAACGCTCAAGTCCGCCAAACATCTGTCAAGCACTCACCTCAGCATAAGTCGGAGTCTGATCCTGCTTCATCATCTCCAAGAACGCCCACGTCATAGCTCCCGTCGCCTCCCCCTCAATCCGCGCATCCGCACTCGTCTGATCATCCCTACACCCACTAAACATCGTCACCATCTTCTGCTCACTCCCATACTGTCCCGCAAACTCTCCACTTTCCAACCCCTCCTCCTCCTGTTCTTCCCCAAAATGCTTCAGTCCCTTGAAGAACGTACTCGCGCCCGCAAGCAACTCCCTCGCCTCCCCAACTTTGCTATACGAGAAACCACCAGAGATGATATCGCGCGCCTCATTAGCAAGCGTAAGCCCAGCTTTCAAGTTATCCATCAAACTGATCTGACCATCGCTATCAGAGCGGTAAACGAACGGTAGTTCAAGCGCACTACCAGAGTGGCAACAGTCCATTATGACAAACAGCGTGCAATCCCGCGCCATATACGTAACGAGATGTTCATGTAAAATGGTACTGGAAATCTGGCCGCGCTGTTCGAAATCCACAGGCACGATCGATGCATCCATTCCCGTCGTCCTGTTGCCGTCTACATCTGCAATCTGGCCGCCATGGCCCGAGTAGTGCAGGAACAAGGTGCAACCGGGTTCTGAGACGAGCCAGTCCATGGCTGCGAGGAGGTTGTGGCCGGTGGGGTAGTAGGGTGAGTCGTAGGGTACTTCTGGTCGGTCGGTGAGGATGACTCGGTCTTTGTGTGAGTTGGTATAGCCGCGGTAGGAGAGGAATTCGGCCATGTTGTCTACGTCTGAGTGGCAGCCCTTGAGTTCGTGGCTGCTGCCGACATAGTTGATGCCGATGAGGAGGGACTTCTTGCGGCGGAAGGACATGTTGAGGTTGGATAGAAGGACGGAGTAGGTGTGCGATTGTGATGTTGGAAGAAGGATTCTAGGTGGCTGTGGCTGAGGTTTGTAGTGTGGTTGTTAAGTGTTGGTAGTGGTGGGGTAGTGAATGATGTGGCTGATCACTGCCCAATCAATTCTAGTGGGAAGACGCGTCGCGCCCCGCCCGCGTGCATGCGCGATTGTATACTGCAAACAGCAATGCGACATATACCAAAGTTACGAGGATCTTGGTGGCTGGGTTTGCGACCAGTCTAGGGCATTGCTAGCAGAAAGTGACGATGACGTCACTCGGTCGTGCGCGCATCTTACAACTGCATGTGCCACACATGTCACAAAGAGTAACGGCATGCCGCCACTACAGTACCATGAATCGAGATATCAGTCCACCTCCCTCGAAACGACGCAAGGTCGCGACAAACACAGCGCCGTCTCCCGGGCAAACGGCGCCTGTAAGCACGCCCGCATCTCGAACGCCCCTTCCACCTCTCAACGCAAACACATTACGCATCTTCTCTTGGAACATCGATGGCATTGCTCCATTCCTACAAAAGCCAATCACAGAGTTCTTCCAAACTTCCAAGTCCAGGACGGCGCTCAGGGATGATGCAAAGAACGCCCGGCCGACAGCCTCACTCAGAGGTTTCCTACACAGACACCAATGGCCATCCATCCTCTTCCTCCAAGAAGTCAAAATCGCCCACACAGATGAAAAGACCCAAGACGCAGTCAAAAAAGCAGTAAAATCACCCCTACCAGAAGAAGAAGGAACTCCCCATAATAAGCGCCCACTATACCACGTCCACTTCACCCTCCCCACCGACCTCCACAACGCCCGCGGCCCCAAACGCAGCGGCAAAATCTACGGCGTATGCAGCCTAATCCGGCGCGACCTCTACATCCCCTACAGAATCGCCCTCCGCACCGTAGACTGGGACGCCGAAGGCCGCATCTCCGTCGTGGAACTCCGCTCGAAGACCAGCACGGCTAAACTCGCCGTCTTCAACATCTACGCCGTCAACGGAACGGAAAACGCGTATCGCGACCCGCAGACCGGTGCGTTTAAAGGAACGAGGCATGATCGGAAACGCGCGTTTCATAAGCTTTTAGCGAGGGTGTGTAGGGAGTTGGAAGAGCAGGGCTGGGATGTACTACTCGCTGGCGACATGAACGTCGCGCCTGACGAGCGCGATGGATATCCCAAATTACGCATTTTCCCGCAAGCGCATGTTGTGAACCGCACGGATTTCCACGATAAGCTGCTGGGAGGGGGTGGGAAGGCGAAGGAGCCATTTGATGGTGTTGATGTTTGGAGGGAGTTGTATCCGCATGAGAGGCGGTATACGTATCATTCTAGAGGAAGGAAATGGGGGAGTAGCTGTGACCGGGTGGATTACTTTGTTGCGGGGAGGAAGACGTGGGAGAAGGGGTGGGTTCGGGCGGCTGGGGTTATGGATAGTGAGGAGGAGATGGGGACGAGTGATCATGTGCCTGTTTGGGTGGATGTTGAGATGAAGGAGGGGGATGGAGACCAAATGGCGTCGAAAGAGCAAGACAAGGATGCCGTAAAAATGTCATCACCCTAAGTTACACGCTTTCTCCAATCTCCACATCGACATCCAGATGTACCCACGACCCATACCCTCTTACTCCGCCTCCCCAGTATCCGCCACAAAAAACGGACTCGTCCCCATCCCATTAAACGCATTAACCTCCCACAACTCCGTCGTCCCACGCAGCACCTCATACCGATTATAATCCCCACACCCACTCCCCGTATTAACACACTCCGTCGTAATCCGACCTGCAATGCGCTCACCAACCTCCTGCCCCTCGAACCACGCACCGTGCAAGAAACCAAAGTACTCCGCACTCATCGCCTCGCCCGCAAAGTACAGCCTGCCCACATTCGCGCGAAGGTTCTGGTGCATTTCGAGTGTCGTTCCGGCAGGCCAGTTGGAGTAGGAACCGTAGGACCACGGTGTTTGGGACCAGCGCGGGTAGGTAAACGCAATGGGTTCAGGAACCGTGATGTTGGGAAACATTTTACGGAGAACGGCCATACCCTCCGCTTTCGTAGTTTCATCGTCCTGCGCTTCCACACGATATGACTGTTCGTCTACAAGCGTGGCGAAGAGGATGTTGGAACCGGGTAAATACCCTTCTGTCGATAGACTCTGCCAGACGGTGTAGTACCCACGTGTAGTGGGGTCGGCGTAGAGGAAGAATTGCTTGTCGGTTGGCCAGAAGGTTTCGTTGAATTGGAAGAAGAGTTTTGTGTAGGTGCCGAAGGAGAAGGTGGCGATGGCGGATTGCTTCCAGTCGGGGAGGGGGGGCGAGAAGGTTATGGCGTCGTTTTGGAGGACGCCGAGGGAGACGGTGGAGATGGCGTAGTCGGCTTCGATGCAGGAGTTGTCTGAAGTGAGGATGTGGACGCCGGTGTCGGAGTAGGTTATGTTTGTTACGATGGTGTTGAGGAGGAGGCGGGGGTCGCCGGGTTTGAGGAATTTGGAGGCTTGGTGCTTGAGCCAGGTGTTGAAGCCGCGTTGATCGGTGCAGACTATGAGTAAACTTGTTAGTGGCGATCTCAGGTACTTATGAAAAGATACGTACAATTGCTGACTTCGGAGAAGCCATAGTAGGTCAGGTTGTACCCTGTGATGCCATAGACGAAGCTTGACTCTTCCGGTGTCTAAGGCGAGGATATTAGCATTACTTACAACAAGTCGCTCCAATTGGCTCACCTGCGCCGTCTCCCAGTCCCACAGATAATACTCCACAGCCTTGCGCGCCGGATCGCCCTTTGGTCTCCACCCGCTTTGCCAAAGACCCGCACGGAAGCTCCTGTCTTGCAAGTTCTCGGAGAGTAGCGTTCCAGCACTTTGCTCGAAGACACTCCAATACTCTTCAAATTCGTCCAGTAAGTCCGTAAAATCTACAGCTCCCGTCTCGTTGTAGGTGGCGACGGAGAAGGAATCAGAATTTGGGCTGGAGAGGTTGACTTGTTTTGAGAAAGTCCAGACAGGGTTTTCTGGACCGTCAACGGTGTCTTCACCAAGACCAGAGATCCAGTTTGCGCCTAGCTCGACCGTGTAAGGATCGCCGTTGAAGTCGGAGCCGAACTTCGTATTCCGCATGCGGCCACCGATGTGATCTTGGTACTCGAGAATCAGGAAGTCGGTAACTGATTGATTGGCAAGCGCTTGCTACGATCCATTAGCAGCTGGCTTAGATGTAATCGTTGAGCCTCCGAAGTGTATTGAATCAGAATAATTTTGCCTTGTTCTGTTCATCTTGACACGAGTCTCAATGTAGACTTACAGCTGCTGTGATACCGGCAACTCCGCCACCGCTATGAATCATTAGTCAACCTTGGACTGCGTTTCTGAAGATGGAAACTTACATGATGGCGACAGTAGTCTTCCTACATGTGCTGTTGTTGGCCCGTCCATGGATTGCCGGCGCAGCGAATGTCAGTGGTACGAGACCAGTGGTCAACAACAACGTATTCGCCAACCTCATGATGAAAACGCTTCGAGAGATAGCTGTGAAGAATGTAAGGCTTGCTGCAGTCTTCTGCACATCG